GGAGAGGGAGAGAGAGACACAGAGACATGGAGAGGGAGAGAGAGACACAGAGACAGGGAGAGGCAGAGAGACATAGAGACAGGGAGAGAGACATAGAGACAGAGATAGGGAGGGGTTCCAGGAATTTGAACAGTGAAGGAATGACTGACATCATTCCTGAGTTGAGGTGTGTGTGTATGTGTCTGTCTGTGTGTGTGTGTGTGTCTGTATGTGTGTGTCTGTGTCTGTCTGTCTGTGTGTCTGTGTGTGTATGTGTCTGTCTGTCTGTGTCTGTCTGTCTGTGTGTGCGTGTGAGAGGTCACAAAGCGGAACTTGTGGGAGGATAGTGCTGTCCCCTGCATCTGCTGCCCCTTGTCATTCCGGTGTGACGGGGTGGGGTTGGGGTTTGGAAGGTGCTTGGTTTACCGGGGGGGGGGGGGGGGGGCGGTGGAAGGGGTCTCTGCTCGTTTAGGAGAGCAACTTACTTTTCTGACCCTGGTCGTGAGGTCTTGAACAAAAAGTTTGCGTAGGTTATGTAGAGTCTGGAGTTCTCGTGCCTAAAGGTGGACATGAGAGAGAGATAGAGACAGATTTGGGTTCACTGTCACCCGAACAAACACACTCCATCTATAGATTACTTCTGAGATACTGACACACCCCTCGGTACATCACATTAAAACAAAATCAGAAACTCACAGTCTCTCAACAGGAATATTTACAGCAAACTCCCCCTGGACAGGGACAGCACGGGGTTAGATACAGAGTGAAGCTCCCTCTACACTGTCCCCCATCAAACACTCCCAGGGACAGGGACAGCACGAGGTTAGATACAGAGTGAAGCTCCCTCTACACTGTCCCCCATCAAACACTCCCAGGGACAGGGACAGCATGGGGTTAGATACAGAGTAAAGCTCCCTCTACACTGTCCCCCCATCAAACACTCCCAGGGACAGAACGGGGTTAGAAACAGAGTAAAGCTCCCTCTGATACTTACCACAGTCTCCTCAAGACCTTTAAGATCCTGTTTGGATTGTTCGTGCCGATCGTGCAGAAATCTGTGGGAGCGAATCAATGGTCCATCAGAATAGGAAGCATCCCTCCAGTGTTTCACTATCTCTCTGTCTGTCTCTCAGCGCCCATCATTTCAAAAACATCACCCAACCTCAACCCTACCCTCCCACCTCTCAGCCCCTCTGCTGTAAACACCACGCTGTGTGCCGCTCTGGTAACTACAGTTTGGATGGTTTCCCTCCCAACCCCATCCCACAATTTCCTCACTTACAACAAGGGTCATTCACACACCAGCATCCAGTCACCTGGGACTACGTGTGTCACCTCCTCCATCCCTCTACACCCCCTCCCTATCTCCGTCACCACCT